CTACAGACCAATCATTACTTTTGAATTTTTTAGTTAAGATTCTAGTATGGCTGACCTGGAATACTGTATAATATATCCAAATAAATGCTTTAATTCCAGTTATTAATTCACATCAGGCCACTACAAGAACCTACAACAATTAACTTTTTACTAAATCTAGAAAATTAAAAATCCAGAACGTGCAGTTTATTGTTTTTAGAATATTCAAGCAAGTATGGCAGTAAAAATTTAATTTTTTAGATATAACCAAAAGTGAGAAATAATGTTCAATAGATATTTCTGCGGAAACTCTTTCTACCACGCCCTCTTTGTTTCAGAAATTTCAAGCATAGTTCCATAAAGGGCAATAATCGTTTCAGAACAGTAGGGAAGAGGGGGTTTCTGCCGCATCACACTAGTCACGTGTTACCAAATCAGGCAATTAATGTCGTTTATATCCTTTGTCTTTCAAAAACCAATTTTTAAGACGGATTATGAAGCCGATTAATTCACCACTTATAATCTTCATGTTTACTCGTTGTATAAAAGTTACATTATCCAAGTCTACCATAATGAGGCGAACATCAATTATAAATGACGTTATGGAAGCTGAATGATCCCCCACGGGACATACTTGGAAGAACATTAACTTAATATAATAGTAAATTATAAACATAAACATAATGAAGTGGCTATATTTTGGAGAGCAAACTCCCCGAAGAAGACAGACCATTGTTCTGTCGAAACACGTAATGTGTTCCCCAAACTTATAAGTCGTTGTTTGTCAATTTACCATTACGAAGGAACACCAGAAAACACTTCATGCGAAGCCTAGCATAATCAGGTGAAGGTTAGTTTCTAAGTTACGTGTAGACTAACATATTCTTGTCCGATTTTCGTTCTAACTGCTGTTTCTTCAAGTATATTGTTGCGTCAGCGAGGTCACGTGACTAGTGTCACGCCACGTTTCTAGAAATATCTTGTTCCTTCGTGAGTGCCCTAGCATTTACTAGATATAGGGTAGTCTGGTATATATATAAGATGGTCACGGCGTGACGTGACAATATGTGTGTAGACAGTGAGTAATTGATCTGCAGTCAGAGAGTATTGTTGAAGTTCGTTATAGCATTTGTTTTAGCGCGATTGTTGAAATCAAGTGTATCGTAAAGTTATATTCAGAAAGAATAAACCAGTTTTATTAAGAAAGGACTTGTGTCGATAAAGTTTTGT